GCTTGGGAAGCCACAGGTGGTGCTTCGGCGGTCTCCTGCATTGAGACCTTAGAGTTAAAGTCCAAAGAAGAGGAGCGGCGTTTTGTTGCTCCTCATCATGAAGCTTCCTCATAAACAGACGTGGGCTCCTGTGGGCCTTGTTGGTGTCTGTGGTTCAGACTTATCTGGGTCAGCTGTCCGCTGACACGAGTCACGACCTCTGAGCTCCGCTGCCTTCCTGCTGCACACAGAGGCGTTGTTGATAACCGTGGGTTGGGATTCCCATTTCACAACAAGTGCTCTGCGAGCTTCCGTTTCCTGTTACTCGCCGTCACACGGCTGTGGGGCTGATTATAGGTCAGGCACTGGATACCTGCTGCTGTGGGAATCTGAAAGCTGATCACAGCGCCGCCGTGAAGGGCACCTTTCTCACCGCTGCAAGAACAGGAAACGGCGGAGACTGAGCGCTCTTACACTCTTACCTGCTGTGGTCCAATGAGTATTCACAGGTATTGTCTGCCCCAGTTGCCACGGCAACAGCTCAGGTAGGGGCTACCTTTTGCGTTTAAGCGAGGATCTGCTGAAGAGGAGCCAAAAGGTTACAAAGCTTGACTCAGTATGAAACTGCTAATAAGTTCAGGGAGGAAAAGAAACACGCGAGGCTGCTGTGAAGTGGACATCACACTCATTTCTATTTTTAGTGTTATACTAGAGCAGCTCTTCATGATTGACAGATCAAAATAACCCCTTGGGTACGTCCCCTGTCTGAAACAAGCTGAGCTGGAGCTGAGTGCTGTGTTTAGGATCTTCCTCAGTGGCGTCAGCGCTCATCTTCATCACACTGCTGTGTCTCAAGTGAGTGCAAAAGTGAGTTTTACTGTGATTCCAGTCAGAAAGAGGCAAGACTGGGCCATATCATACCGTTCACGGTGGTACCGGTGTAATGTTGGGCAACGATAAGAAAATGAAATATGGCGATAGAATATGGGTAAAACGCGCATGCGCAGTGCCTTTGTTTACATACGCACATGGTGGCGATGGAGAATGAGAAGGGCGAAAGCAGATCGTTGAATGAAACGATGAACCAGAACTGGTTTGTAAAAATGCTGCAGCTTCAGTGGTGTGGAACTGGTTTAGCTTCCGTCCGTCAGACACACAACAAAGCACTATTTTTGCTATCGCATACTAGCGGGCCGTCGTTATTGCCTTGTTTTTGGAAAATACGGCGCACTTAAAATCAATCCTTTGATTTCTCTGAAAGTCGACAG